CCCTTGAAAAAAATAAAATCCCTACGTGCAGAAAATCATCCATATGACGTGACAGCAGCAAAGGATTCACTAGACGGAGGCAAAATTTACCTCCTATGTATAATGAAGGAAAGTTGTACTGGCGAGGAAGTAGCGTGGTGTAATGTGTGATAACCCCAGGGTGTGTTCCACATGTAAGTTAGCTCACATCCGGCCAAGCCCTGGTAGTAGTTTACCCCGGCGTCACTGTAGAAGGTGAAGTGAACGAACTATACCAGGATATTTACTTTATGCGACCTGACGTCAAATTCACGTGTAAATAAAAATGTGTTGGTCACTGGACAAACCACGAACAAACGGGGAACTTTAATTCACTGTGTTCAAAATGTTAGATAATTTGAGAGAATCACTTGGTAAAATATAACAAGTGTTGTGGTGTAACTCGTGTTGTTGTCGATGTACTTGGTTAGGTCATGAACTTACTACCCAACTTGTTGCTGAGATAACTACGCCATCTTTCTGGATAATGAAATCTGATTTTTCTGGTGTATATTTTTGTATGAGTTATGAATATATTATCTACACCCCAAAAAAACTAAATTAACTGGTTTTGGTAAGTTGGGTTCAGGATGTCCATGAGTGATAGAGCTTGGCAGTATTCGGTAACTGAGAGGGAAGCGGTACGCGTCACTTAACATTCTCACATAACTTTCACCTGTTGGCACCACTGGTAACGTCTACACACACACACACGCACGCGCTTCGTCTACAAGGCACAAGGTTAATTATTGATTACTACATGATATTAAACTTTATTGTCTCGCTTTCTCTCTTATATTTATTAACTCTGTAATGTTCTTTCGATGTTTGATGCTTTAAACCGTTATTTACAACGTAGTAATATTTTTTGGCATTATCTGTTGTTTATCTCGGGAATTATATGAGCATTGCTCTTTCTACAGGTGAGTGTGTCTGGGAGGAGGGGTACATGTGGTACAAGTATGTGGCAGAGGTTGTGTGGCGCCTCTTGAGTGACAGACAGTCGCCCCTCATACTGACCACAAACTTCCCACACCACCACTACCACCACCACTATCACTACCACCACCACCACAATCACTACCACCACCACTATCACTACCACCACCACCACCACCACCACAATCACCACCACCACCACCACCACCACCACCACCATCATCACCACCACCACCACTATCCCTACCACCACCACCACACAATCCCTACCACCACCACTACCACCACAATCACTACCACCACTACCACCACCACCACAATCACTACCACCACCACTACCACCACCACTACCACCACCACCACAATGCCACCACCACTACCACCACCACCACCACCACACCACCACCACCACCACCACCACCACCACCACCACCACCACCACCACCACCACCACCACATCTCACGGACCCGTATAGTTATGTATGTTGGCAGTGTCTTCTTCTTCCTAGGTAATTTCGTTGAGTTGATTGCCACAGTTTTATTTATACCCTCGTGGCAAGTGTTTCTGTTCACTCACTCACTCACCAGGAAGTTAATGTACGCAGGAAGTGTCTCCGCCTCCCACACATGTAGGTCACACAGTCACCCACTCAGTACCTATCACTCACCATATTGAGTCTCTGTTTATTGTGCTTCATGAAGATTGACTGAAGTTGTACAGTAATGCTTGAGTTTCGCCTCCTTCCTGGCTGGACCTTGTGAGAGTTGAGGTAGGGAGAGGGAGCTGGGAGTGAGAGGTTGGGAGAGTGAGGCTGGGAGTGAGAGGTTGGGAGAGTGAGACAGGGAGAATGACACAGGGAGAGAAAGAGAGAGAGAGGTTGAGAGGGAGAGGCTGGGAGAGAGAGGGAGCTGGGAGTGAGAGGTTGGGAGAGTGAGGCTGGGAGAATGAGACAGGGAGAGAAAGAGAGAGAGAGAGAGAGAGGTTGGGAGGGAGAGGGAGGGAGGGAGGGTGGTAGTGATGATGGAGGCTTCCCGTACATTGTTGTGCTTCAAGGTCTCGTACGGTCGCTGCCACCACCACCACTTTTAGCAAGCAGAGAGAGAGAGAGAGAGAGAGGTGTTTGGTATATACTGTACATATTTTATTATATGTGTGTGTGTGTGTGTGTGTGTGTGTGTGTGTGTGTGTGTGTGTGTTAATGAGATGAAAGCTAAAACTCATTGGTTCTTATGATTTACAATACAAAGCCACACAATCAACTCGCTAATAATCGACAACTGAAGAATATTAATAACATTGTCCAAGATACCCAGCTGTAACCAACCACTTACAGAACGTTACACAGTGAAATTTTTCCCTCAAACCTGATTGTCTGACTCACACTCGGAAAACAATTGATTTCTCTGATGGGACTACTATGACCTATCAGGACTACCTACTGTGATCTGTATAGACTAGAGTGAATTAATCGACTCAGGTGCCATTGTTACTGAAGCACTTACATACCCACTGACGGAGATATTGTGTGTGTGTGTGTGTGTGTGTGTGTGTGTGTGTGTGTGTGTGTGTGTGTGTGTGTGTGTGTGTGTAATAATAATAATAATAATAATAATTAACGGTTTATTGAAAAAGTTCTGCAGCCCGAAGGCTGAAAATATACATTGGGCATAAATGACTTATTACATACATTGGTGGTTTAACAAAAGCCTTCATTAGAGAAAGGTAAAGGAACATACAGTGAACATACAGATTAATGTAGGTGTGTGTGTGTGTGTGTGTGGTTTAAGATGTTGATGTGTTGTCTTTTATTTGGATTCGATTTGATGTGGAATTCACCGTAGAGTTTTGTTGGTTTAATTCTGTATTGGTTCAAGAGTGGTGGTGGGACAGCTGGTTCAAGAGTGGTGGTAGTGGGACAGCTGGTTGAAGAGTGGTGGTGGGGGTGGGACAGCTGGTTGAAGAGTGGTGGTGGTGGGACAGCTGGTTCACGAGTGGTGGTAGTGGGACAGCTGGTTCAAGGTGTGGTAGTGGTGGTAAGACAGCTGGATTAGTTGGGTGTTGTGGGGGTCGGGTTGTAGGGGTGAGATTATGGGGTAGGGTTGTAGTGGGGGTGTTGTGGGTGAGGTTATGGGGTAGGGTTGTAGTGGGGATGGGTTGTGGGTGAAGGGCGGTGGTGGGTTAGGACAGACCATGAAGAGTTGATGCCATAACCGTCGGGAGTAAATAAACATGCCAGGTAATGCATGATGTGGAGGGCGCAGGTGTGAGTCTACGCTGCCTGCCACACACTGACCTTCCGTTAACTGACTCTCTCACACCTCTACAAGGCTGCTATGTGGCAAATATTTATACCACCCCCTCCCCCCTCCTGTAGATATCCACCACACCACCACCTTCCTACTTTCCCGATATCCATTCCCTTCCACCCCTCAATCACCTGCCTACCCTCCCGTATCCACCCCCTTTCCTCCACCCCCTTACCTCCATCCCCCCACCTCCACCCCCCCACCTCTACTCCTATCATCTCCACCCCTCCTCAACTATGCTTCTGTAGATAAACTGTTTCAATATTTATCTATTTCAATACCTGTCGTCCATAGAGTTATTACACTATAGAATTAACACGACGAGAAGAGGACTTGCTGTTGCCCAGATAACGAATCAACAACCCGGACGCTGATAGTTAGGGGTGCGTGTGTGTGTGCGTGCGTGCGTGCGCGATCGTGTGTGTGTGTGTGTGTGGCGCCGGTAAGTGCTTTATACTCTGATGGGTGTTAACGGGTCTCTCTCTCTCTCTCTCTGGCCTAAGAACCGAGAGAGACTAGACTCGCCAAGTTGATGTACCAAGCGTTTAACTCGACCTTGTAGCTCCTGGTATTCTGCTTTATTTAACTTACGTATTTTTTTTTACGCATTTTTACCCTAGTGTGTTAACAGGTCCCAAGGGGCGTGCGGTGGATGAGTGGATACAACACTCGCCTCTTGTTCTAAAGGTTCATTGGTTTGCGTCTAGGGTAGTCTCTCTCTCTCTCTCTCTCTCAACTAACTGTGAATGATTGTACCTCCCCCCTCACCTTCCTCTTACCTGCCTATAACTTTTCAGTGGGAGGTGTGAAAGTGGTCGAGTGTTTTGCCTGCCCTAATAGGTTCCAATGCCCTTATTAGTGGGTCTCAATTCTAATGGATCCCTGACTTAAAAGGACTCCTGACCTAATTGGCCTCGATTAGGTTAGTTTGTGTTAGGTTAGGTTGGATTAGGTTAGTTTTGATTATGTTAAGTTGGATTAGGTTAAGTTGGATTATGTTAGACTGGATTAGGCTAGTTTGGATTAGGTTAAGTGGTCTTTTTCAGCACCTCAGAACCTTAAGACCATGTATACATACATTATAAAAGGATAATTTCTATGTTTATAATCCCAATATTTTGTTTCCTTATTGATAAACAAAATCCTTAATTAATTGTTAGTGAAAGAACGTTTACCTGGTGGTGGTGTTATCCTGAAGGGTGCAGGGGGACAGTGTAGTGATGGTGTGGTAGGTGTGGTAGGGGAACAGTGTAGTGATGGTGTGGTAGGTGGACGGGGACAGTGTAGTGATGGTGTGGTAGGTGGACAGTGTAGTGATGGTGTGGTAGGGGGACAGTGTAGTGGTGGTGTGGTAGGTGGACAGTGTAGTGATGGTGTGGCAGGGGAACAGTGTAGTGATGGTGTGGTAGGTGGACAGTGTAGTGATGGTGTGGTAGGTGGACGGGGAACAGTGTAGTGATGGTGTGGTAGGTGGACGGGACAGTGGTAGGTGATGGTGTGGTAGGTGGACGGGGACAGTGTAGTGATGGTGTGGTAGGTGGACAGTGTAGTGATGGTGTGGTAGGGGAACAGTGTAGTGATGGTGTGGTAGGTGGACAGTGTAGTGATGGTGTGGTAGGTGGATGGGGAACAGTGTAGTGATGGTGTGGTAGGTGGACGGGGAACAGTGTAGTGATGGTGTGGTAGGGGAACTGTGTAGTGGTGCTGATGACTGTAAACATCTCTCCTCTTGGTAGGTGTTGATGATACCTGGACATGTTGACAACTGCTGTTGACACCTGCCGTTGACACCTGCCGTTGACACCTGCGCTCCAAATTAGCCGCATGAGTTGATTGTCCTCTGTGGAAGTTGCCCCGTGAGTACAATAGTTCTGGTTGACTGACTGACTGGTTGAATGACTGACTTGACTGGTTGAATGAAAGATTGACTGGTTGATTGACCGGACGGCTGACAGGTTGATTAATTGACTGATTGGACTACCGATTAGCTAAGTGACTGACTGAATGACTAGCTGGTTGACTGATTAACTGGACAACTAACTGATTCAACACCTCACTGAGAGAACTTTTGTATCCACCAGTCTGCACCTTAACTGTTCATGACTAGTTAAGGGCCCAATTTTTATGAGACAATTTGGGCGGTTTTAAACTTTTCCCAGAAGTCTTCAACAGAGGAAATAGTTCACTTGTGGGCGGGAAGACACGGGTTGGTGGGGTCCCGAGAGACGCCGACGAAGGTGAGGATATAACGGATTTTCCTCACCATGTAGTCCGTTAAACAGAGGTCTCACTGTATATGATCTGTGTGTGTGTGTGTCCTGGGTCCAGATTCTCTTCAAATACTTCTCGTGGCTGAAAATAGTGTTTAAGAATAAGTTCAGAATTAATCCGAGTCTTAACTTGAATTAGATGTACGTTCACTTTGCTTCACTTAACGAATAGAATTAGTCTACATAAACTATGTCACTTTTAGCCTTGTACTAAGTGAAGGAATCCACTTAAGGTCATGTCATTGTAAAAGACCATGTCAGTGTTAATAGTCATGTCAGTGTAAAAGATAATGATCAGTGTAAGTTTTAGTAATATTCTTGGTTGGCTTCAGTGTAAATCAGTCAGGTAGCTACATCGAAGCAGCCTCAGTCAGTTAAGTGGTTTATCCCCCGTCTGAACCTTGAAGACCTGGGTTCGAATTACCTTCAGGTGTGTGTGTATGCAATTTGCTTGAGGTGATTTAACGTGTGTCTCACCTGTCCTTACCTGCCAACATATTAACTCGTTACTGTCACCATTATGTTGCGGATTGTTCTTGCATGTTTAAGACCCTGGAGTTGACGATAGCTTAGCTCTGGGGAAGAAGTACAATGAAACCTTGATTTAACGGATTTATATTGAGAGGAAAGTCCGTTATATCGAGAGGTCCGTTAGATGTGAAACGTCCCATCTAATGAACTATATAAGAGATGAAGGTTCCGTTATATCGATTGTCCGTTAGGTATTATGAAACCTTCTATCTAACGGATTGCTTTGCGATGGAAGTTCGTTATATGGAGGTTTTACTGTATATTGGGTGTAAATTCTTCTTGCTAGTTGAGATGGTGATTGGGCAGTTGGGTTCAGGAATTAATGGACCTCAGATCTATTAGTTTTCAATTCTAATGGGACCCAATTACAATGGCTTAGGGTTCATTCCTAATAGACCCCAGTCCTAATAGGCCCGATTCCTAATAGAACCCACCTCCAATAGTAAAGTTAGGACCAGGACCCATTTGACCTGCAGCAGTTGCGAGGGAAAAAAATAGATTATAACAAAGTGTTGAGAGAGAAGGGGAGGTGGGGGAGGGAAGGGGGGGGAGGGGGGAGGGGGGCAGAGGAGGTTAAAGCAGTGTGTGTAGGTGTGTGTGTATGTGGCTGTAGGCGGTGTGTACGTGTGTGTGTGCGGGTGGGGGGGCGGGGGTGCCAGCGGGTGCCAGGTGGTGATGTCGACGAGTGCCAGGTCTCAGTGAGGCCAGTGGGGCCAGAGATAGAGGTGGCTGCCGTGCCTCCCTCCCTGCCGTGTATGTGTGGGCGTCAACCTCCCAAGGTGTATATATGTGTGTCGACCTCATCCACCCATCCTCTAGCTGTGGGCGTGAACGTAGACCCTCACAGTGTAGTGGTACCTATAGCTGTGGGTGTGGGCGCGAACGTTCAAGATGTACATATGTGTGTGTGTGTGTCGGTATCACCATCAAACCTCATATTGTGGGTGATGTGAACTTGAACCTAGATAACACACTTGGCCTAGCTGCCCCACCTCACTTAAAACAACAGTGAGAGTGAACCAATTTTCCTCCCACCTCCGACAATACATCACACAGGAAAACAAAAGAAAACAAAAATTTAGCAACTTGGATAATAATACTGACAGTGAGGTAACAGTGAGCTAACAGTGAACTAACAGTGAGTTCCTGCAGCGTGGCGTCAGGCTCTAGGAAATGCCTCATGATTGTAGTGAAAATAAAGACTTAACTTATCGTGTATGGGGAAGATGAAACTGCTGTCCCTGTACTTGATGGGATATAGTGAAGTACAGTGCTTGATATTGTGTTCTGGATCAACTGATGGTAATATCCTGTGTCTGTGTGGCTCGTTCTGTGTGTACATGGTCTTGTGTGGCTCAGATGGTGAGTGTAGTGTTGATCAGTGATTTTGTAGACATGACCAGTGTGAGACATCGAATTTTGAGGTCAGGTTAGGTTAGATCAGGTCAGGTTAGGTCAGGTTAAGTGGGGTAAGGCCACAGAGGACCACAGGGTAGTCAGTGTGCCAGACAAGGAATTAACGTTTGCAAGGCCGCACCCCGCTGCTGCTGCTGCTTCTACCGCACTTCCTCGTAGAAACTAAAACTGTCGTACCCATCCAAGCTCTCGCTACCACCACCATCACTACCATCGACCTACTGCTGCCACCACCATCACCTCCACCTCATCCACGATTCGCACCATCACCACCACCACCTCCATAATATCTTTCACCACCATCACCACCATCACCACCATCACCACCTCCATAATATCTTTCACCACCACCATCACCACCATCTATTTTAGTTATAAGTTATGTGATATGTTATTTAGTTTTTATTTCATTAATTTTACGACCAAAACACTACAACTCCTGAGGTGATTTACGTTCACTGTAGGTTAGGTTAGGGCAGGTTTGGTTAGGTTAGGTTAGGTCTGGTTAGGTTACTCCTCTTCCTTTTCTTTGAGCGGGTGAATTAGTGGGTGCAGGAACACACACACACACACACACACACACACACACACACACACACACACACACACACACACACACACACCTACCTACCTACCTACCTACCTACCTCCATATTGATTCACCAAGCTTGGTATATCAATTCACTGTGGGTATGAACTGTAGGCACCATTTTCGTTTGCTTACCCCCGTCACGTAGACAACACCTCAATTGTCTACCACCTTGAATCATTCTTTAGGAATCGGAAAAAAATTTCTCCTATATCGATATGTTTTAATGTTGGTTTATTAATGTTAGCCCCGGTTTAAATTTATTGGTTTAATTTGATGTGTCGTAATGTTTTCGTAGATAAGGTCCCGATAGCTCATGCTGTTGTTTACATTCGATTTCCAACTCATGACTTTGACTCCCACTGTGTTCTTTATGGAGCGCTGTCACCTCCGTCTTGTGTGTGTTTATGCATTTCAATTAACTTCTACATCTGTGTTAGTTTGTGTATGTATCCGTGAATGTAGAACTATAGCTAAGTGTGTGGTAGTGTATGTTCCGTTGTATGGTGGAAAGTGTATTGTATATACTTCTTATATAACGAAAGGAGAAATCAGGCAAGTTTTATCGTCAAAAATCAATCCAGTGAGAAAAAAAAAAGTTGTTTGGAATTGTTGAAGGAATATCACTGATGGGGAGTGATAGTCCGGGATATAAACAGATGCTGGTAGGTAGAGGCTGAGGAAGATGTAATACTAACAGGAAACACTTAGCTGCTATCTACCATATCCCTTTCCCATACCCCCTTCCCATACCCCCTTCCCATACCCCCTTCCCATACTATCTACCATATCCCTTTCCCATACCCCCTTCCCATACCCCCTTCCCATACCCCCTTCCCATACCCCCTTCCCCCCTCCGCCGATGGTGAGTGCGATATGGCGGTACTGTCGAGTGTAGCTTATCAGGAGTGTGTTGATAAGGGTATTTGTGGAGTGAGGCAGATGTAAAGACGAATTCAGTTAATACCACCTCTATTTCACTTATACCGAAGGTCTAAAGTCACATTACTTATTGCCGTCTTGTGTCAGTGTGAAGTGTACGTTATCTGTTTCATGTTTCTCGTTATTGATAGTAAGTAAAAATAATGAACGATTCCTACTTGTGCAAGAATCATATGAAAATAAGCTCTCCCTCCCTCCCTCCCTCCCTCCCTCCCTCTCCAAGCTTATAATCACCTGATGAACAAAACACACAAACACTACCTGGGGGGAAGGGTTTGGTTAGGTTAGCGCTAGGTTTGGTTAGCGTTAGGTTTGGTTAGGTTAGCGGTAGGTTAGCGTTAGGTTTGATTAGGTTAGCGTTAGGTTAGCGTTTGGTTTGGTTAGCGTTAGGTTTAGTTAGGTTAGCGTTAGGTTTGGTTAGGTTAGCGTTAGGGTGTTTAATCATTAGGTGAAATTTAAGTTGAGTATTAATCCTAATATATTCCTTATATAATGTAAACAATACTTGATACTTTTAACCCTCTATGATAATATCATTAATTTTTTTCTCATAAATTAACGACAGATGATTTATTTTTACACCGTTCCTATAGAGGTATTTTGATCAGCTTCGGTAAATATGGTACTAAATTTTCACTTGTTAACACACTCACGGTTTGAAGACACTTTAGGTAAGTGTGTCAAGGGAAGGGAGTGGGTGGAGGAGGAATGAGTGAGTGGGTGGAGGAGGAATGAGGTAGGAGGAGGAATCAGTAAGTGGGTGGAGGAGGAATGAGTGGGTGGAGGGTAATAAGGAAAGAGGAGGAATGAGTGAGTGGGTGGAGGAGGAATGAGTGGGTGGAGGTTAATAAGGGAGGAGGAGGAGTGAGCTAGGGCGGTGGAAGGATTGTATTGTGGGCGTGAGTAAGGAAGGGGGTGGTAAGGGGGGAGAGGAGGGGAGAAGGAGAGTGTACTGAGGGAGAGAGAGGGAGGGAGGCTACCGTGTTCCGGGGTCTGTGGGTGAGTTAAGGGGATGTGAGGGGGGGCCTCTCTCTCTCTCTCTCGTGTTTTTATTCGAACATTAATTCCTCTTAAGCGCTGATCGTATCTTAGCGACGTAAAGCAAGAGCCATGATAAATCACATTAGATTCTGACCCTATGACGACGCCGGGAATAGAACCAAGACTGGGTCAGGGTCACGGGCAGGAATAGAACCATTACTAGGTCAGGGTCACGGGCGGGAATAGAACCTTTACTAGGTCAGGATCACGGGCGGGAATAGAGCCATTACTGGGTCAGGGTCACGGGCGGGAATAGAACCATTACGAGGTCAGGGTCACGGGCGGGAATAGAACCATTACTAGGTCAGGGTCACGGGCGGGAATAGAACCATTACTAGGTCAGGGTCACGGGCGGGAATAGAACCATTACTAGATCAGGGTCAGTGTTTGAAACAGTTGATATTACCATTGACTGTCTCCTCCAGGGTGTTTATTTACGGATTATAAAACGTAACAAACTGCGGGAAGGAAACTGAGGACAAAACTTAAAGAAATAAATGAATATAGTTTAGGTGTTAGAAACATCGTCAGTTATATATACCGTGAATACCTGAGACTCCTTCTGTGTTGTACTGCGACACACACACACACACACACACACACATACACATACATACACACACACACACAGACACACATTGCAAGTTGAAGGTATGAACAATTATGTGTTGATATTGTTGTTTAGATCTTGTCGTTATTTATATTTTTACATTTAATTTTTACCTGTGTGTGTGTGTGTGTGTGTGTGTGTGTGTGTGTGTGTGTGTGTGTGTGTGTGTGTGTTTTGCGCCGTGAGAGGAAGAGATAAATAATAGAAAAGTTTAATTGCAATGAACTGGATGGTATTTTTTAGTCTTGTTCTTTTGTCACAGGATTACGAAATGCGTTAGTCAGCTCAATATCCGTCTTTCTTGACTTGACTTACACATACGAGAGGATGATGTAAGTAGGCAGTCAGTAAGAAACCGTACCGGGAACTTGGCTTGGCTTGGCTTGTTGTGGAAAATATCACGGATGGTTCAACACCTCACAACAGCCACAAGACATCCCACACGTACCAATTCGGGTAACACCATTGTCAAAATAATTATATATCTATTTTTGTTTTTCTTGGTAATGATAATAGTGTGAAAGTAGTTTGAAAATTGTGTACTTAACCTCACCTCATCACGCGAGAACTAAGTGTTGAACAGTTAACTTGACGGCATAGAAAGAGTGGATAAACAGTGCTGATGTGTTCATGGTGATATTTTTATAACCAGAAAAAAATAGAGTTTATCGTAGGAAGAAATATAATAAAACAGTTAATTTTTTCAGTTTTTAAGATAAGAAAACTAATTTGACAATAGAAAAAAAAATATGTTAAATTAAACAGTGAAATTTAGTAAAAATTTTATAGTGTGAATACCTCGTCCTGCGCCTGTGTGTTTAGTGTGGCGCCAAACATTGTGACGCACGGAAACACTCAGAGTCGCACGTCATAAGAAAGTGTCGACGCTCCATTACCCTGCCTGCACTGTGTTGATGCCAGAAACCCGGAAAATATTCTCCACCTAACACTGTTGAAGGTAAGTACGCATGAGACCCAATGAGTGTTACTGTGTTAGTCTGGGTTTGTTGAGGGGAGAGAGAAGGGACATACTTGGGTCTTTACTAAATTTTGAGATGGTGAAAACCAAGAGAGGATTTTAAGGAGACTAGACATCAAGGGGCAGGTGGCTTATAATGTATAAATTATTAGATAAACGCGATAAACTACAGCGACTTTGAAGGAAGAAAAGGAGAGAAATGTGCTTTAGAATATAACTTAAGTCAGAATAATCTTTTTCTTGATAAATGTTGAAGGAATAATGAGAAAATGGCCGACATGTCAGTTGTTTTAGTGTATTATAATAATAATAATAATAATAATAATAATAAAAATAATAATAAACGGTTTATTAATAGAGTTGCAGCCGGTGGCTGAAAATATACGAACTTACATGTGATTTAGACAAAATGATATGCTTTGAATACATTTACAGGGCTGTACAGTACATAAATCAGGAGTTGTTTATTATTTTAACAATAGATGGGATGGTGCTATTATATCTATCGGTGCGGGCTCTTATGGGCTGAATTTTGTTGTAGTGGCAGACTGCACGAGGTGGGCGGGGGACTGCCGGTGGCAGGAGGTGGCGATGACGAGGAAGGTGCAGTAGTCCACTGCCAAACCTTGCTAGTGCTTGGTGGTGGAGGTCACTGAGGGATGGGATTTCCAGGGTGGAGAGAGCATTGTTGTAACCGGAGTAGTCTGCGCCGAGCATGATTCTGCAGGCCCTTTTCTGTACCTTCTCTAGCTGACGTGTGTGTGTGTGTGTGTGTGTGTCTGTCTGTCTGTCTGTCTGTGTATTTTCTTCACCTCAGATTAAAATACCAACATAACCTTGAAGAGTACCACCTGAATTACATACACAGCAATTAAGAGTCAGAAGTTAGATACCTGTACACACTCTTTGGAAAAATTATCCTTTTTAGTTTTTGTGTTGTGTTAGGGAACGTTTATGGATAAGATAGTTTGTATTTTTTTTTTTTTTTAATTTTTGGGCTCATTTTCTCTTTCTCTTATCTCTGTGTCTCTATCGCCCTGTCTCTTCTTTTTATCTCTATTTCATTATCTCTTTCTGTCTCTTTATCTCTTTCTCTGTCTGTCTCTCTTTCGTCAAGCACAATCATCATTATTTACAAGTTATATCCACCTTTTTGAACCATTTGAACATCTTGCCAGGCACTGTGGATCAGCCGCGTAAAACAGACAAAACTCAAATTGTGCGGGAACGAAATCTTTGCCTGGGAGCCTTGACAAATGTGTGTCAAGCCATTGTGACCTTGGGCTTGTTAGTGCACACCTGGCCACCATGTCTCACCTGGCCACCGTGTCTCACCTACGCTGATCTTCTACACACAATATTTCAACAACACTTCCTTAAACACTTCTTCTAAAGGACAATTAATCCCCCTAAGTAAACACAGCGCTGGAGTCTTCTCGCCACTAACACGGTGGTGAAGTCTTTTCGCCACTATTTAAATATTTTTTTTATATGTCCTCTTGAGAGTTACTGTCGCCTTATTATAAGTCGACTGTTAAGGAAGTTGTTTATATCTTAGCGCACACAACTGGACACAAATTTAATGCCATCTATGTAAAATATTCGTCGAGAAGACCAAACAGTTTAATTATATTACTCTTAAGATTGTGATCTATTTAGGATGACAATCTTTCTGCACGGAGGCCAACTCTTATGTCACGAGGGCAGAAGGGAAGTCATAAAGTAAACTGATAAACCAGAATTATCTAGGGAAACATTTTGGGTGGCGGTGTGTGTGTGTGTGTGTGTGTGTGTGTGTGTGTGTGTGTGTGTGTGTGTGTTAATATGGTTCCTCAGCATCTTATCTCCTGATCTTCCTTCCAACATTCTTATATATTTTGTGGGATAGTTGTACCGATTAAATTGTTGTTTTACTAAGCGGTTTAACCTGTGTTTTTGTTTCTTGTGGGTGTTTTATAGTGAGTGTGGGTGTTTTATAGTGAGTGTGGGTGTTTTATAGTGAGTGTGGGTGTTTTATAGTGAGTGTGGGTGTTTTATAGTGAGTGTGGGTGTTTTATAGTGAGTGTGGGTGTTTTATAGTGACATATTTTTATTTATTTATTATGAAACGAAAACAAAAATCTTGTTTATTTTAGGAGCTTCTGAAATTACGTATTCCGAGGTGATGGTAGTTAATGAGAGGTACTTAAGAATGACACTCAAGGGACTATAGGGGTTAAGATCTTTACCATTCATCCGGTACTAACGATTAACTTTAGCCGGATAACAGTACCGGGTGTCTGTAACTGGTCAAGACACCGGTTATCAGTGACAAATTTATACGCGGGTGGAAGGTACCGGGTATGAATCGGGTTTTATAAGTGTGTGTGTGTGTGTGTGTGTGTGTGTGTGGAGAGAGAACATGATGCAAGGGATGTAAGAGTTGGTTGGCACCCTCACCGTCGCCCCTGAGAGAGCACTTTTTGAAGGTGTTGTGTCCTTGGGTGACTATAAATGGTCGTGTCTGAGTGTAAACATCACACATGTCGTCCTCCACGTGTCTCTTACCTGTACGTTTTATTTGTCTCTGTAATTAGTTAAGTCTCGGTGGTCTAATGTCCTCCAGGTGTTTATCTTTTATGTGGCGTTGATATGAGATGATTATTATGTTTTTTTTTTCCCCGTCATGTCTCTTGCTGGTTCATGTTATTATCCACTAGGAAAGGGAGAATGTTTATGTGGTTTAGTAAGTGTTTATATCTTGAGGGTGTATAGTATGAATGAGCCACTTGCTGTACGGTGCTCCCTCAATATATCAACACATACGAAGTTCTTGTATGTTTTCGTGTTTTGGATTTCCATAATTTTAAACCTTTTCTAATTTTTATTTATGTCATTTTTTCTTCTACTAATAACAACTAATTCCATAAGTTCACAATGGAGTGTATGTTAACTACTGTGATTGCCATTAGGTTAATTGTGTATGTGGTTAACGTATTTTATGGCTTGTGGACTGAAACATAACCAGTGAGTTTGTTTAGTAGAGGCGCAGTGCCCCTCCCACCTGGCACACCTCACCTCCGCCTCTCACCCTCCCTATACTGTTGGTGGCACCTGGTGTAGGCCACACGCCTCTGCCTCCTCCGTCTGTCCATCTCTGCCTTCAGTGTCATCGTGTGTCCTAGCAGTAGTAGCAATATACTTAGAGTCTAGCTTCGACCTACGATCAGACACCTGGCCACTAGCAACAATATCGCCAGCCCACTAGCAGAGGCAACACTTACCAACTGGGCGTCAGCACTAGCCTACTATTAACAAAAACTCCATTAGCACCAGCAACACCTACCCACTACCAACAGCATCTGCCCACTACTAGCAGCACCTGCCCGCTAACAGCATCACCTGCCTACTAGCAGCACCTGCACCTGCCCACTAGCAGCACCTGGCGGCGACCTGTGTGCCAGCCACCCACGCTTACCATCTCCCTTGCCAATCGCCCACCGCATACCACCTACCCAGCCAAGTGTCCGCTCCACCTCCCTCCCTCTCCCCCTCCTCCTCCTCACTCACTCACTCACTCACTCACTCACTCACTCTTTACCTCCTCATCTCCCTCATTCCATCTCAACCTCCTCTTCCTTCCTTCCGACCCAACTTTTGCTTCTCTTCTCTCCTACTCCAGCCTTCCTCTCTCACATTCCATCCTTGCCTCCTTCTCTCCCCCATTCCATTTAGTGTTTGGGCTCGAATCTAAATCTTGTGAGAGACAATGAGATGATGTGTATGTATTTGGAACCTAACCTAACCTAACCTAATCTAACCTAGCCTAATCTAACCTAACCTAACCTAACCTAACCTAACCTAACCTAACCTAACCTTCAGCTCATTAAGCTCTCAGGAACGTAGGATAGGTCTCGGCTGGGTAGGTGTGTGTGTGTGTGTGCCTCACGTTGAGATACATTCTTACCAGGTACACTAAAACAACACTAAGGGAGATAAGGGAGAAGGGAGATTAAGGGAGGGATTAAAAGGGATGTAGGGAGATAGGGGGAATTTTTAGCTTCTTGGTGAATGAAAATAGGGAGAATAGGAAGGATTTTTAAACACCAATGGGGATAGAAGTAGGGAGGGAAGGAGGTAGGTAAGGAAGGAAGGAGGTAGAGATGGAAGGAGGTAGGGAAGGAAGTCATTAACGGCAGCATCTCTCAGCGTAAGGAGGTAGGTAGGTAAGGTGTGGAGGTGATGTGCCTAGCTGTAATGGAAGCACACACACCAGACCCTTGAGACAGACAGTAATGAAGTACGGGGCCCAACGTCTAAATGGGCCCCAACCTAATCTGAACATTAAAATTGGGGCCCAGATCGAATGGGTTCTAGTGCTGATTGGATTGTTGTTCTAATTGGCCCCAGGCGTAATGAATTTTTGTCCTGATGGGGCCCAGTCCTCATGAATTATGGTCCTGGTGGGCCCCGATCCTATATAGGTCCTTTTACAAATTATCCTCATCCAACTGGGTCCTTATCCGAACAGACCCCAGTCCTAATAGATCCTGATGGGTTTCTAGTGTCGATGGGATCCTAACGTAATTATGCCACACTTAATAGGATCTCCACTTATAAGGCTTGGGTCTGAGTCCAATTAGCCTTCAACTCCGGGTTTTAGGTACAATCGGCCCCTTGACGTTGGCTGACGAGAGACTTCCTGACCCTCTGAGGTTAGGTTATGGAAAGGTAAAGGTGAATAGATACTGATTATTAACATTGAAGGGAAAGGTGAGAGGATGGAGGGAGAGGGGAAGGAAGGAGAAACGAAGGAATGTGAGAGTAAGGAGAGAAGGGAAGGAAAGAATGAATACGTTGGATAAGGAAAGAAGGAAAGTATTTATTTTAATGGATAAGAGAAAGAATAGTGGATGGAGTAAGGAGTTGGATGGGAAAGGGAAGGATTTGTTTTGTTTTGGTAAGGGAAAGGTGATGGGTGAGGGAGGAGTGTGTTGAGG